CTATGAAACATCTATCGTCCATATATTTTTTCTCCGTCTTTGTGTGTGTGTGTGTGTGTGTGTGTGTGTGTGTGTGTGTGTGATCAGCATTGTGTTCTCATAGTTCTGTGTATTTCTTTATTTGTCTCTCTACTTCATCCTCACTCTCTTTCCTCTCCCTCACTCTGACCCATCTCTCAGCGTCTTGGTCTTTCATTTCTTATCTTTTTGAGTAGAGGCAAACTACACTAGATCTAGATATCTAGATCATGTCAGGACAAATGTCTAGATCTAGACCTAATCTAGACCTAAACTCTAACAACCTTAAGTGTTAGTGTTAGAATCTAAAGGGGAAAAAACGGCGCTTTTTCGGTAGTTCCCACCCCGCAATTGTTATTCACCGGTTTTGGCCCCAAGAGTAGGGGGGTTTCAGGGGGGCTTGCCCCCCTGACCTAATCATGCCCCCCTGAATTTTACCACAATTTAATGTTTTGCTGTTGTTAGGTTTGATATCTTAGCTTGCCGCAAATCAAACGTCCTAGAATCTAGATCTAGATCTAGATCTAGATCTAGATGTAGGTCAGGCTCAAATAAGGGGGGTGGGAACTACCGAAAAAGCGCCGAAAAAACACCAATCACTCTCCTGATTCACAGAGAATCAATCTTTCTTTTCTTTTTCTTATAATGGGTGTAAGTCTATGAATCAGTGCTATAATACAGGCTATAAATTCTATCTCTAGATTTCTAGATCTAGAGAGATCTAGATTTCTAGATCTAGACCTACCGCTCATTTTTTTTTTTTTTTTTCACTTGCCTGTAAAGTGCAAGCAAGCTGCAGGATGCACTTGCACTGTTCTCTGTTTATCTACCAAACTAATTTTTTTTCTTTTGGCTTGAAATCTGTTTGTGCATTCTTTACCTTTTAATGAAATCTCTAGACTCTAAATCTAGACTCTACCTTATACTATACATACTATACAAATCTAGATTCTAGAAAGAATCTATTAAATAAAAAGTCTTGTCTTAGAGACCAACTTGTTGTATGATAAGAACGTAGAAATTAATGTAGAACAATCTAATCTATATCTAGAATCTTAGATTAGATCTAAGCTTAAATTGTCAGATCTAGTCTAGATCTAGATCTAGGCTTCCAGTAACTTCACTTAGACCTAGATCTAGGGTTCAGGTACTGAAGTTGTTGGCAGGGTGATTGGTCGTGCAAAGTAAACAAAACGAACTCTGCTGAGGAGGAAAGTCGTACGCAAGACCCCCGTCTCTAGCAGAAGGCGTAGAGTAGGTCTAAACTTAGTAGACTACCACACAACAAAACACTACAGTAATAACATGAAAGCGCACACCAGAGTTCAATCTCACCATATAAAATCCTTGCAGTGGCTACAGAAAGTAGGCTGCTTAAAAAATCTCGCAAGAAATTTATGATTTTTCACTTCGTGCACATTTTTTTGACGTAAGGCTCCTCGCCTATGCACTCGCTTCTCCATTACAGGTTCCTTGTCCGCCATATTTGCTCGAGTGAATGTTTTTGCTTTACCGAGCCTGTCTGTGGTTGGTGGAGCGAGCGAGCACAACGGAGAGCAGCGAGAAACGAAACAACGGGCTGTTGGGACGAGCGATCTCGCCCGGTTTGGCAGTCTGTGCCTCTCACTCACTTCCACAGCGCTGCCTGCGGTCTCCAGAGGCTGGCACCAACCGTGTAGTGTTGTTGCCTGTGCGTGCGCGCACGCGCTTTTCTGCCACCATTCTACTTTACCAACAAGAGAGCTCAACTTACGCACTCAGTACTCAGGCCTTCAGCCTCACTTTGCGTACCGGTAGATCTATGTCAGGCCACCTCCACTGACAGTGCCACAACATTAAAACCGATGTTGATCTAGGGCAGTTGGACAGATTCGTCGGTTCGACGAATTGAATGAAAATCGACACTGAGCAGCTTTTTTACAGAATTTCTACTTAATTTTGATTGCTCACCTGTGTTTGATTGACAACACGACCAGTGTTTATTATTGTTGTTGTTGTCCTTCGACATTGTAAGATTATTAAAGGAGGCAGTCTCTCCAAATTAAACGTCCATCTCCGATAGGACCAAACCTGGTGGTTCTACAGCCTAATACGGGATGCCCATTATGGATGGGATCGGCGGGTCTGGCCGATCGCCCGACACGGTTGCCTCAAAAACAAACATGTTTGTTTTCAGTTTCTGGTGACCGAGTCAGGTGATCGGCACGATCCAGCCGTAATGGGCACCCCATATTAAAAGCTCCCTCAACGCGACATAAGGTCATGAACGCCCTGTTTGGAGATTCGAACCAGGGCCATCTGCTTTATGGTCCAGCCCAATATCATCTGGGTTAATGGAGCACCAAGGAAAACGTTTATAAAACAACAATTTTGCTATTCGAGCCACATCTCCTGTACACCCTGCCTCAGACCGACCCCCCTCCCTTTTCCCTTCCCCCTCCCCTTTTAGTACCTGTACACCTTTTTTTGAAAGCATTTTACGGCGCTCGCAACTGCATAAGGTCATATGAGCGAGCGGGATACATTAAACATTTTCAGTTGGAAGGAAATTTTGAATTTCGCCCGGATAGCGGACGAAGCCTACTCTTTTCGATTTTGGACCATCAGGGGATCTTTAACGTGCGCAGCTTGCTCCCGGGACCTCCAAGATTTTTCGCCCTTATCCGAGAAGGCTGTGTAGATCTAGCCTTCCACAAGATCAGGGGTGTGGACGAAAGACAGCCTATAGTAAGAAGGAGCCAAAGAGTAGCAGTAGAAAGGCTTCAGAAAGAGCCAGAGGCCCAGATGCGAGGGGCAAAGGAGTTGAGGGGGTGGGAGCCAAAAGTGGGGACGAAAGCAGATAACAGAACATTGTTAGGGAGCAGGAAAAGGAAAGGATGTGAAATGAGAAAATTTTAGAGAACTAAATTTTCGGTCTCAAGTCCGATTCGAACCCGAGACCCATTGAATGAGAGGCGAACTTCTTAAACCTCTACACCTGCTACGCTCTGTGCACACCGACCAATGACTAAATAAATAGATCTAGTACCATTGTATACTAAGTTGTGTTTTTTGTCACAAAGAGGCTCCTTTGGTGTTCTCAACTTACTTTGCTGTAAGTTGTATTTTTTAAATTATGCTTACATCGTATCTTGCTTGATAAATACGATTGTTTTAAAACGATTCAAGTTTGTTCAAGGCAAACGGGACAGATTGTAAAGGAGGAGGAATAATTTACACGCACTACTTCAGACATGGGTCAGTTTCTAAGTAGCTTCAAAGAAATATTATTTAATTGGTGTGTCAGAGTGAGAAATAGATCTATTGTGTTTTACGTTCACACACGTCGAATGATTTTTATGACGTGGTGTCTTGTTTTATGTAACGCGCATTGACCATTTCTCAGAAAATGCTATTTTACTATTATTATTATTATTATTATTATTATTATTATTATTATTATTATTATTATTATTATTATTATTATTATTATTATTATTATTATTATTATTGTTATCATAATTTTTTTCTCTCCGCTTTGGAATTGTTCGTGCCTGTGGTGTAAAGATTATAGATGATGCTTCGCCCTAGCGCAAAGAAAAGATCTGAGTTCGATTCCTGAGTGGGGACTTTACAAAGAGAAACACATTCATAGTAAGCGGGTTTTCAGCTCCGGATATCGAAGTTTTGCTCGTAAACATTTATATACTCTGTATTTAAAATATGAACATAGCGAAATTTATATATAACGAAAAGATTTCCGCTTCCCGCCAATTTCTCTATGTGTGTGCCGGACTGCTTATTTATCATCATTATTATTATTGTTATTATCATTGTAGATCTTACCATAACAGGTAGGTAATGTGATTCCTATTATTTCACGCGACCATTTAAAAAAACCCAAACCAAACAGATCCTGCTTAAATTATACTTCTCAGGGTCAACCCAATATACATCATCCTAGCAGAAAGAGGGAGGTACGGTGCTTGATTTGGAAAAAAAACACCCAAAAAACCCCAAACAAACAAACAAACAAAGGCAAAATCGAAACCAAAACAACAACAAACAAACACAGCATTTCCCCGACGAGAGCAAACTCACATCAATTTTGGGTAAGGCCATGAGCCAAACCATTGCATCCCTGACGCTGGTTTACAAAATATAATCAAACTTGTTCTAACGGCTACCAGTAACCCCGCCTTCATGTGTTTTTTCTACATTAAAATGACACTGTGTAAGATGTCCACATGTCTGAGACAGCAACTTTCCTCCTCGACACTGGGTGGGTGGCCGACGTATTACACAATTTCAAATGTATTGTATACTGAATCTTGCTTTAGGTTTCTTCAGCCAAAGAGTTTCCTGCATCACGTTCTGTCTCCCTTGTTATATAACAGCACACTTGCGCAATGCATGATAAATAACGACAACTGCTGTTTTGTCGGTGCACCTGGCCCCAGGCCCCGCCCGCTCACTTCACTGGAATACCTTCTTACTTTCTCATCACCGTCCAATGCAACTGTGCCTTTCAATCCATTTTTCTTTTCTGTTCTTCGGGTACTCCACCCCCGCTTTCTTTTTCTCTCGTTTCTCCCCCCCCCACCCCCTCTCTTTCTTTCTCTCTCTCTTTCCTTCTCTCCTTCTCTCTTTCTCTCTTTACCTCTCTCTTCCTCTCTCTCTCTCTCGCGCGCTCTCTCTCTCCCTGATCTCCCTTTCTCTCTTAATTTCTTTCTTTCACACACTCTTTCTAGTTCTCTTTCTTTTCTTCTCCTTTTCTCACTCCTGCTCCCCCA